ATTTTAATGAGAAACAACGAGAAACAGGTGAATAAAGACTGACAGTCGATGTTTAATGTTTAGAAATTATTATAAAGCATTTTTGCTGGTTTATGTGGGCCGTCCCAAGCATGGTTGCAATGTGTTCATTGTCAAACTCCAAAATCAGATTAATTTTAATTCTTAAAAAATGCCATTATTTTATTTGAACAAAAAAACTAATGAACATGTATCTATATATATTAACAAAATATTTTAGTTTGTGTTGTATATATTTTTCATTCGATCAGATAAGATTTTAAGCTGTCATATGGTCAAGTTACAATGTGCCCCTCAGATGTTACAATGTGTTCCACCTACGGGGCATGTTGTCACATTTCACTTCCATTAATCGCATGGTGTCACTATCTCGAGAACGTGCCGGCGGATCTGCACCAAATTCAGGGGGATCCCTTCAGCTTGAGGAGCCCTCTTGAACACCACCCTCTGCGCGTCGGTAGCCCCCCGGGATCGTTTGATCGGTCGGCGCCGGACCTTGAATTTAACCAACCGTAACTCCCGAACCCTGGGGGCTATCCACGCGGGGGTGGTCTCATTCAAAAGAGGGCCTCGAGACGTACACTCGATTCGCGTTCGAGAGGGTTCCTTGAGCTGAAGAGATCCCCCGAATTTGGTGCGAATTCGCTGCGCTGTTACGGAGATATGGCTGTTCAAAGTTTCAATGGTTTTCCATTGACTTGAGCTTTAAAGCGTTTCATCCAGGTCGCCAGTAGCAAACCATGGAGCACGCTCTGCTGGACAAACTAAGTAATTACACCATTTCAAGCATTTTATCTGCATTATATGTTCTGTAAAAAAAAATTCATATCGGCGGCATATTCGCCGATACCGATATATCGGCGACAGGCTCATATCGGCAAAACGATATATCGGTCGGGCTCTAGATTTTAAATGATGGAGCCACAAGAATCTCTTCCCAAACATAAGGAGCTTCCTTACTGCCTACTGCATACTAAAGGCTGGAATGCACTACACAACTTTTGCCCAAATTTTATACCCACGCAGTCTGGACAAGTCAATGCGACATAAAATTGAATAGTGTATGATGGACACAGACTCCAGTTTTTTTAGCTTCGTACTCTTGATTCCATCCAGATTAAATCAAACATGTTTAATATTTTGAGCTGATTTCAGAACACATATTGTTTTTATTTGTCATAAGTCTCCTAGAAACAAGGCACATTTTCTGTGCGAGTTTGTTGTATTTGGAATGATTTTAAAAAGTCTGGTAGTGTGTGATCCTCAGTGGTTTAGTGTATCATGCCCAGTTTTCCTCTGTAAACATTTACAAAGTCTGCAAGTGTATGCTGCCTAGTGTTTTAAAATCTGTTCAGATTTTAAAATCTGTGTAGTGTTTTCCAGCCTTAAGGCAGTATCCTATCGTAAATAGAGCATCATTAGTGACCGATTTTTAAATGCTTTACACAGCAACTACACAAGCTAGGGCTACCAGATATATCGCAATTGTACAAATGTAGAAATTACAACATGCAGATTGCAAAGGCTTGCCATAACTGAATGAGTTTAATAGTTCAATAAGTCACAAAAGTTCACTGCAGATAGCAGAGATTGGGCATGTTACTGGTAGTTGGGCATGTGTGTGTGTCCTCCGATGGCATATGCAGGGTGATCAACATGCCATCTTGATGATCTCAAAGTAAAAAACAATGTAAAACATGTATGTTGCTTCATTTTCATTTTTAAAAATAATTTTTCACGAGTTGTCACATTTTTCTTCAATATCATGCAGCCCTAGTAAAAGCCACACAAATCTTCACTTAAAAACACTCTGTTAGCTACATACTGTAGGGTGAGCAGTTTGGAAAAAGGATGGAATTTTTATTGATACTTTTTAATATTGAATGACTATTAATGGTCCACCATCTTCAATTAACTTTTTTTCTCTGAGCTTGTCACAGCACATTCTTGTATTGCCTTCTATGAGAAGAATTCAATGTTGCCTTTTGTAATGTTGCTGCCTACATTTCAGAACAGCCTATGTTTTGGAAGCATGCCTATGATGCCTTAAAATGGTGCCTGGGTAAGCGGCTTACTAGCTTTTGGAACAGTGCTTTAGTATCACTGTTACCCTGTTAGTGATTTTTTAAGGCATGTTTGACCAGACTTAAGTCGTAAAATACAAGCAAATTTCAGATTGGTATTCTGAATATTCTCAACTTATTCAAAACTTTTAACCTTTTTTTGCAACTTCAAATGACAGTGATTTTCATATCATCCACCCACAAAACCCATCCCAATCAGAAGCTCACAACTCGGTGTCACTGATAAATGTAATTGACTAAATAATTTTTCTCTTTCAGGTAACTGGTGGACTCTCAAGTATCTCTCAGGCAACTCACTCTGCCGCAGGAGCAGTTGTGTCCAAACCTCGTGAGTTTGCCTCTCTCATCCGCAACAGGTTTGGAAGTGCAGACAACATCTCTGCCCTAAAAGACTCTCTGGATGAACAACAAGAGGACGAGCCTGTAACAAGTACAGGGACAGCAGGCACTAGGACCCTAGGACCTGGGCAACTACAGTCCAGCCCAAAGTACGGCAGTGAGGACGACTGCTCCAGCGCTACGTCAGGGTCAGCAGGAGCAAATAGCGCCACGGGGGCTCCTGGAGGCCCTCCGAGCTCAAAGGGTAATACACTGGAGCATGGCCAGAGCTCTGGCTTTGATGCACTGCTGCACGAGATCCAGGAACTGAAGGACAACCAGAGTCGACTAGAAGAATCCTTTGAAAACCTTAAGAGCCACTATCAGAGAGACTACACAGAAATCATGCAGGCCCTGCAAGAGGAGAGATACAGGTACATGTTACTATAGAAACTGATTCTGCTGGCACTGCTATGTGGTCTGTGTAGGTTTGTGTAGAGATTGAAGGTTTCACAGTCAAAACGGCATGCATGTTGAGAAAGCGCTGGAGAGGATGATGATGTTCTAGTTGTCTAGTCTTTTAGGCCCCTTTCTCCCATTTTGTATTTTGTTGTATTATCTCATTTTTTACGTGCATGTGTTAGGTGTGAACGTCTAGAGGAGCAGTTGAATGATTTAACAGAGCTGCATCAAAATGAGATTATCAACTTGAAGCAGGAGCTGGCCAGCATGGAGGAGAAAATTGCTTACCAGTCTTATGAACGAGCCAGAGACATACAGGTACTCATGTCCAACATTAGTATTATTTTGTTTTTATTTATAGTAGTATAGTATTTATTAATCATTTGAATTAGCTTTTATTTATATATTTTCAGTTTTCATTTTAATTTTAGTTCTAGTGGTTTTGTTAAGCACATTTATAATTTTCGAATTTTATTATGTCATTTTTATTTGTTTAATTTAGATCACATTATCTATACCCACTGGCAATTATTTATTATGCTAGAGTCCATTATCTCTGAAGCATATTTTAGTGGACTGTGATGTCTTGAACTCCTCTAGGACTCTTTACTTTTTATTTAATTCACAGATTTTTACTGATGAATGAAAAAAATAATTCTTAAAGTCTTATGAAAATGGATTATTCAAAGATATTTTTACGATTGTTTTTAAACCAGTCTTAGCTTGGGTATGGACTTGGGTATGAAACAGGATAATGTTAATGCCAAGATTTCTGATGGGAAAGAACATTAGCTGTTATCATTAAGCTATTTTGTATCGATCTGACGGACAACATTTAGTCTTCTAATTTAGTTTTCATAATGAAATCCAAGAGCAACTCACTCACAGTCCTCTTTGAGGGCTTATTCTTAATGATATGATGCTGCTAAAATGTACATGTTCTGCTCTATTACACTTTACTAGCATTTAAGTCTTACAATAACTGGAATGGAAATTGTGTATCAGCTGCATTCACTTCATGTTATCTATCTCTTAAAGGGATAGTTCAGCTGTCAGTGGCAGCTGTTACCCTCTGCTTATTGATTATGGTCTAATGAATAAATGTATAAATATATCCACACAAAACAAATAACCCCCAATGCATCTGAAAGAAAAATGTAGGTTTTCTAGGGCTAATCAGCGCAAATAATTATTTAACAAATATAATAAAATAAAATATTATGTTATAAAATATTTATTCCGAGCTTAATGATTCTTAACTGCAGATTTTACAGGAATAGTGTTAAAAATATTGGTAATTCTCATATCATGCTCATAGTTTTGATTAGAATACATCACACATTTCAAATCTTTCATCGCCACGGAAGCTCAAATCAGATCCGAAACCTTTGCGTATGGTACACTTATGATCATAACTCAATGCTGCTCCCGTACTAGTCTCCATTTGAAATAAATGATTTTAGGGGCCTCATTTATAAAATGTGCGTACGCACACATCTGATCTTAGAGTGTGCGTACGCTAAAATCCACGGCAACGTTCATATTTATAAAAACGGTCTTTGATGTGGAAAAGTACTTGCCGCCACGTCAGGGTCTGAGCAGGCGTACACACTTTTTCTTGTGGCAAAGTTGGAGTACTGCAGCTATTTGAACATCTAAGCTGCAATAATAATAAAAGCGGTATACGTGCACCGAATTCATCATAAACAACAAAGATGCAGTGTAAGAGATTAATTGTGCAGTGTAGTCAGATTTTTTATTAACTGGAGTTTTTGCGAGATTAAACTGACCATTTTAGTAGCCTAAAAATGTTGAGATTCCTTTATTAGCTTTCTGTACAGTTTTTCCCATGTTTTTTTTTATATTATTATTTTATTTTACAAGAGAACTTGCAAAGTCTTGATTTACTACTAATGCGTAAAATGGAAGAAAAAAAATGCATAAACGCATCTCCGACTGTTTTGTCTGTGTAGCCTATAAGAATAGGCCTATGTCGTGCAATAACGGTTTTAGTATTCTATTCAATAACATTGTTAACTGTTTTTATTTATAACATCTGCTGCTTTGCTTCTGTGAAAATGAATAGAGACCTCAGCCTTAAACTTTATTTTTGTCGTTTACATCAGTTATATTTGTATAAAATGCACTATATATTTTTGTGTCAGTACATTAATTGCACATTTGAGCAGCATTAGTAAACTGTAAATATAAAGAAATGCCCAATCACATGCAGGTTTTTTTCAGACCAGAGACCATAATCGTGTAATAATTTATTTTATTATGATATGAACAGTCCAATTTTTCTTTCAATAATGATTTTTTAAGTTTTGCAAGAATTTCATGATACTAAACTTTTTATTAGTTGTCATAGCAAGTGATTTTAAAAGTAAGATGGCTCACGTTTTATAAGATGACTGAACATTTTACTTGAATTCGTAGTTTATTCTTACTTTTGGAAACCTAATTGTTTTATAATTACTATAATTATTATTATTATTTCTGTTGTTTCTAGAAGTGGTTGGTTATAGTCAATAGAAAAAATATAACCACACACACATTGTTTGTCCACAGAATAATTACAGATTATTAAATAAAAAGCGTCCCCGCACGAACCTCTATCTCCGCCAGCAGGACCTCAATTTTTTTTTTTTTCTTTGCTCGTCATTCTCAAGCATAGAAATTCGGATATTGGCGTGTGCTCTTTTATATGGTAATGATATTAATTAGGGGGCGTTTACAAGGTGGAGATCTGACACCAGTGAGCTGTGTACAATTTCAAGATCATTTGCGATTTATAAATATCTAGAAGAGATACGTGTTTTTGTGTGCACGTTCGTTTTTTCTGAATCGCACTTACGCACTTTTGAGAAATGATCTTAGAACAAATTTAGGACGGTTTATACGCAACATTTTATAAATGAGGCCCCTGGTGTGGTGTTGGTCAGAGATTGTGACAAGGCAGCTTTACTCATAACACCTTTCTCATTCCCTTCCTGTAGGAGGCGCTGGAGGCCTGTCAAACGCGCATCTCAAAGATGGAGCTTCAACAGCAGCAGCAACAAGTGGTTCAATTGGAAGGTTTGGAAAACGCCACAGCACGCACTTTACTTGGCAAACTCATCAACGTGCTGCTGGCTGTCATGGCGGTACTCCTAGTGTTTGTCTCAACGGTCGCAAACTGTGTAGTTCCGCTGATGAAAACACGTAGCCGTACGCTTTCCACATTGCTCCTTGTCATATTCTTGGCTTTTCTGTGGCGGAATTGGGAAGCCATGTCGCAGTACCTGGACCGGTTTCTGCTGCACCCCAGATGACCTGCAGGGGCATTGCGGTTGTCATTTCATGAAAGGACTGGAGGGTGGGAACTTTGATTCAAAGATGGAGACTAACACTGCCTCAGTTGCACTTAGTATGAAGGGACGCGACAAAAGAGTGGAGGACACGGACAAATCCTACAACTTCTTTTTCTTGTTTCTTTAACAGAAGGAGTGAATTTGTTTACATTTTGATCCTTTTCTGTCGACATAAATTGTATTGCTGAGTTTCCTTTTATTTGTTGTTGGAAATGATGCAAGTCGTGTTGTTCATTGTTCTCGTAATTATTGTTAGGATATACATTTATGCAATTTCCTGAGTATTGCATTGCATTGAATTGACTGGAGTGGTTTTAACATGCACTGGATGGAGATGTTTCTCCTCGTTTTTAATACCATATTAACTCCTAACTTCAAGCTGTTTCTTTCATTTCTCTGTCTCTTCTACTGTTGTCTTGCTCTTCTTCTTGCGTGTGTCTCTTAACTCAATTCATTTCCTGTGCTCATCGCTTCACTCTTCCCACTCGAAACCATTTGCTGCTGTTTGGACTTCACTGCAGTTGTTACTGAATGAAGGAAAAGATGGATTCGTTGAAGAGGAGGCATCTGGAGTTTGATCAAATGGGCCGAGGAACCGGAACACTCTGGACCCGAGTCGGCCCCTCTTTGTCTCCAGCCCCATGCCCTCAAAGAGGCACAGTCCCCTGGTATATCCTCCTGAGAACCAGAAAAAAAGCTTTGTGAATTTAGTATTTTTTTCATGTCATTACATTGTTTAGAGCATAAGCAAAAAATGGAAAAATAACATTTTTGAAAAATTATATTTTATTCATATGTTATGTCCTCTGTAGAGGACACCAGGACTAAAAAAAATGGCATGAATGGACATGGAAAGGCAAAAACAATGGGATTTTTTAAAAAGTCACCATTTAATTTTTAGCTTTCAGGATTGTTTTATACCAAACTTTGTATAAGAATGATTCTCAACTATGTTATAAAAGATATATCAAAATGATTTCATATACCATTTTACTTTATGCAACGTGTGTAAAATTTCCATAAACTGGTTTTCCCATTAAACACCGTGTTATCTATACACTGTACCCAATTTGCATATTAATGTGCTGTTGGGACAGCATGTTGAAAAAAAAGAAGTGTAATAATGGGAGTAATTGGCCAGAATTTCATATCTGATATTTCATACGAATATTGATGTATAATTTATTTTTCTATTCATTTGTTGTATCTCCCAAAATGCATAATAAACATGCTTTTAGTCCTGGTGTCCTCTACAGTGGACATGTATGAAATCAATATCCTGTTTCATAACAGGAAGTCATATTTTGGTTTGAAACCCCATAACATTTTCCTGAGATGTTAATTTATGACAAACAATTTTAAAATTAATCAATTTAATTGATAATTACAAAATATTATATTTCCATAAGGATGTACAATTTTATCACTAAATTAATGTTAGCCATTTTTAAAGACCAAGCAGAGGGAGTGGCCTTGGAGAAACTCCCAATCATTTGGTATCTCTAAAAAAGCCCTGAATGTGCTCTGTACAGGACATCCAGACTTAAAACTGTGACATGTGGGGTCTCAAGAGAAATTCACTAAAATATAATGTCCACTACAGAGGCAAAAACTCCATAGCTGGGTCTCAGGAGGATATGAACAGAACAAACATACTTGAAGAGCTAGAAATGCTCAAAGACTCTCAGTGCTTCCGTACTGTTTCTTATAGCGACAATGAAATAGTCCTTTTTAGTTTTTTTTTAAATGAAATGAATAAACAAGCTGTTTTAAAAATGCAAAGTTGCGTGATTGAATATTTCTGCTTCGAAACTGTTCAAATGCACCAAGAGTGCAGCAATTTTGTGTCTTCACTTAGCAGATCACAGTTTTCTCATGCATCTCCCATCATCAGCCTCTTTTGGTTTTAGGAATGTTTATTTAGTAAAGTTCCCTTTTTGATATAGCGCTATAAATATATGTAAAATCACAGGTTTTGGCATAAGCAAGCTTTTTAATTGAAGCTGAAATGTGTATTTAGTCAGGCAGAAAGGTAAGATGTTCAGTTCTTTTACAGTATGCAGGGGTTTTGATATACTTCTTCATATTAACATTTTCATGTGGCATTAAAGTAGCATCTTTATCCTAATTGAAAAGTAATTTGTAAAAAATGTTTGGAATAAGCAATATCATCTAGTTTATCTTTTTATAAATTATTTTATCTTGGGACAGATGGTTTTTTTTTAATCTACAGGATGTATCATAGTTGTACAGTATGCTTTGTTTTTATTCATCTATGCAGTCATTTAAATCAGGGCAATTTTGTTGTAAAACTATACTGTGCAGATAAATATATTGCAGTATGTATTTGCTGGTAGGTTACAAAAACAATACACAAGTTTCATTCTTGCTTAGTCAAGCCTGATTTTGCGGTTATGTGGTTTGGCACATTCAGACTGTTCAGCAATTTTTTGTTGATTTTTGGAACAATATAATTTTGGTCCCTTGCTGATTTAGTAATGTATTGATTTTTATAGTTGTATAACAGTGAAAGTGCGACCAAGTTTACAGTCCTGATATTAAAACAAAGGTACGTTAAACCTTGTGCATGTAACCACAAGGCAAATGACAAAGATTACACAATATTTTTACTCATCCGGGTCATAACAAAATGTTGGATAAATTCATTTACGGCTGGGTTTCTTTTCTTTCAAGATGTTTTGTCACTTTATCAGCTGATGGGAAAATACCTGACATAACACCATGCAAGGTCATGCAGATGTGGGAGTTGCTTTAGTGATGACACATTTGAGTATGATGTTAAAACAGTCTCATGGATGTACTGAACAGTCATCCATATAGAATATCAACCAAAACTTGAAAATGAAATCTTAGACTACGTCCTTTAATGAGCATCTATTTTCATTTGTACTCACATGGTTTGAAATAAGACTTGTTTGTATGCCGCATGACAGAGAAATCATACTTGGTGACTCGGAGATACATTTAGCTCATTTTTTATGTAGAAAACACGAGACTAGAAACTGGCACACAAGGTTTTTTAGGTGCAACATGTGATAAAAATGGCAACAGCAAACAGTATAAAAAAAACACACACTAATACTTTCAAATATGTAAAATAATTATCCACATTACAGTCTATTAATTCAAGATGTGGATGCCAAAAGCATACTCTATGTGCTCACAAACATTTCAAACCCATTCATGGTTTCATGCATTCTGCACTCATTTGCCAAACACGCTTCCTGATGGAGGCTTGGGTTTCTCAAGCACTGTCTCGCTTCCAGATCGTACTCCACTGAAAACAGATGGCGCCACCTTCCCCATGCGCTCTACACAACAGACAAAACACAACAGATTGTTTTCAGGGTTTCTGCACAACTCAAAAAGTCTTAATTCACCCCTCCACAAATTAGGGCCTTAAACGGTATACCTAAATCAAGAACAAATATCTGTTAGTGGGGTATGAAAACTTTGAATTAACTGCATGTTTCTGAACCAAATGGCATATATTTGCTCTTGTTTGAATCACAAACTCACTTCATTTTGATCAGTTTCTCAGAAAACAGTTTCTTGTGTTATTTTGCTTTTCAGTGTATCTTTGCCTTGAGAATCTTTAGACATTTTGCACTGGAAAGATCCTGAGTAGAAGCATCACTTCTTGCAGAGTAATCAGAAGGTACAGGAAAAGTTATTTCAGTATTCTATTTTATTTATGGAGATCTGTTAGAAATAGTATTTTCAAACTTTCAAGTGCTGCTAATACAATTCATTATCAGCTAATATTATCTGCTCCTTAGTTACATTTACAGAACACATTGATCTATTATATTCCCTTTTATTGCTTACATTTTCTTTACTTGGTCTTAAAAAGGTCTTTAAAAGTTTGAAATTTACAAAAAACAAACTACAGAAACCTAGATAATTCATTACATACAATACAATTATATAGTATACAAAAACTGAACGTTATTATTATTATTATTATTATATTCTACAATAATACAATGCAATTTTACAACGATATACCATAGCAACTTTCTGAAATCTTGACATGGAAAAATTGTAAAAGATAAAAAAAGATAATTTTTATACATTATTTTTTTAAAAGACAGTCTCTGTTCTAATCTAAACTATAATAGCTAATCTGTCTCTGATTTATGTTTCAAACATGGCAAACTTACCACACTCAACCATGACCTCGTATGTTTTGCTCTTGACCTCTCCCTTTAGCCCCAGTTTACTGCGGGCTCCTTTCAGGTCCTCCTCCTTCACAACTGGCCTCTTCTTCTTCTTAACCTCTGGCTGATGGAAACATCATTTCAAAAGAGAAATGCCTACAGTAGTTAGCACTTAAATCATTATTTATACTTTTTTATTTCTAATCTGCACATTGAATCAATATATTTTCATACCTGAGACATTCTGTATGTTTGCAGTCTGGTCTCTGAACAAGTTGGTGCGTTGCGTACTTTGTCGTCTTTTCGCCCTGGCTCTTTTATACCCTTGTTACCAGCTCAGTGTAACCCGCCCCCTCGCCCCTCTCTCTTCTCATTATATATTATTAGCTCCTGCAGTCAGTGTCAGAAAGCCTCTTTCTGAACATGACTACTATGAACAGCTGAACACATTACAGTCAAAACACCCTCACATCCCTCCTCACGGATCAGTGACGGGTAGATTAAAGAATATGTTTTGTTGCTACAGGCCAAAATTGTGAAAAACATACAGTTTTTGACATATCTGATACTCTCAACATTATCTAATAATCTAAGCCAGATTTGTTTTACAGCAATAACTGATATAATTCACCATAAAGCTGAATAATAAATTGAATTTAAAAAAAAAAAACCTTCTTAGTTGTGACAAATGTGTGTGATGATGGAGATGTTAACATGCCACACAGATTATATAACCCAATCACTAACACTCTTCTGGGATGGTGAGTCAGCCTTTGTGAATGAGCAGGGACCATCTCATGTGTGCACCAAGAAAAATACATATTCAGAAACCGTTTTCATGTCAGTCATTGTGACTGTTCAAACATTTGGGGCTGGTAAGATTTTTAATGATATTAAAAAAGAAGTCTCTTATGCTCACCGAGGCTGCATTTATTTGATCAAAAATACATTAAAAACTGCAATGTTGTAAAACCAACCTACTGATCTGCTACTTAAAGTCAGTGTAAAGGCAATTCAGAGAATTGTAATAAATGTTATAAATGTATTGCTGAAAGCACGGTACAAAGACTTAGAACTATGTAGTACTGAATTGTAGAGTTAGACCATTAAAGGGATAGTTCACCCAAAAATGAAAATGTGATGCTTATCTGCTTACCCCCAGGGCATCCAAGATATAGGTGACTTTGTTTCTTCAGTAGAACACATATGATGATTTTTAACTTTAACCGTTGCAGTCTATCAGTCGTATAATGCATGGCAATGGTAACAAAATCTATGAGAGTAAAAAAAACATGCACAGACAAATCCAAATTAAACCCTGCGGCTCGTGACGACACATTGATGTCCTAAGACACGAAATGATCGGTTTGTGCGAGAAACCGAACAGTATTTATATAATTTTTTTACCTCTTATACACCACTATGTCCAACTGTCTTTGGGCGCGTGCACGGCATCCGGTGCGTGAGGTGTGTACGCGCTCTGGCGTAGTTTACGCAAGCGTGATCTCTCGCGCGTATACCTCACTCATTGTTTACACAGTGCACAGTCATTGATCTAAAGATATTTAGACGTACAGGTCATCACAACGGAAGACGATTTTGATATATAATTGATATATATTAGTGTATCCCATCATGCATCATGTTCTGGAAATAAATCGTGAGACTTTTTGCCGAGATCTCGCGAGAGGTCACGGAAACCTTTCCAATGTAAGTTAAATATTAATATAATAATTAGATATTACAAATAATTTGGTAGAAAAACTGTTTTTACTTTTATTGGTGCAAAGATGAGTTGTGGTGATATTTATTTTGTACAACTTTTTCTTTTAAATTTAATTAGAAGCACCACAAATTAAAATTATGTCACGTTATAGGGACTACTGAACAGACATTTAGAAGTTGATTTTAAAATGCAAAGTATTTAAAATGAAAATAAAGCTGTGTACACACTTGCATTTTTACAACACTATAAGTGTGTCCCATCAGGTAATGAAAAATTCGACACACACTTGTGGTCTTCACATCCACTTGAAGACTTCGGCCAAATACAGGAAATACGTCATTTAAGTAATCAAGTGGTCGAGTGCAAAGACCGCAAGTGTGGGTATTTGGACAAAGCCAACCTTTCCGCTCTGCTGAGTGACGTAGCGGCGTCATGACGCAGAAATCATTTGAACCGGATCTTTCGAATCGATTCTTTGAAACGAACAGTTAAAAAGAACCTGTTCGTGCCACGGAAAAGAGCCGGATTGCCAAACACTGAACGAGAATAGCAAGCGACAGATATGGTGAAAAGGTGCGTTTTGGGCTGTTATCCGCACAAAACCCTGTTCCCTTTTCCCAAGCTACCGTGGTTGCGAGCCCGCTGGCTCGAATTTTTGCATTTTGAGGAAGGAGGAATATCGGAGGGCTCGCGTTTGTGTGCGAAGCATTTTGCCCGAGAATGCTTCACAAATGCACAGCAGTATGAAATGGGCTTCGCTGACTTTCTTAGTTTGATAGACATGGCTGTCCCGACTATATACACCGTTGGTCCGGCACCGAGTGCGAAGGTAAGTAGTTAGTTACGTTACGCCTGCCAGGTTAACATAACAGATTATTCTATCGAAGAACCGCCCATTTTGACCGGTGTTACGAGATAATCGGTGTCCGAGATTTTCGGTTTCAGTGGGCGGAGCATACATGAATATTCATGAGCTTCCCGGACATGCGCGTGGAACTGAACGTATGTGGAAATATTAGCGTAATGGAAGCTTTGCCGCCCAAATGTGCACGCAAAGAAGACGTGGTTTCAGTAACCGCAGTTAAGTGTTGAAGCAGCATGTCAGGGAGACGCTGTGTGTCACATCACAGTGGAGTCAGCTGTCTTAACCGTGACTTGTGTACTGCAAACACATACCAGCTTCATCACTGTGTCTGTCACGCAACTCTGTTCCCCTTTCGGGCTCTGTCTTTACATTTATTTTGAAAGCTGACGCTCGCGATTATGGTAAGGGGCGTTACATTTCCGACGAGTGCTTGCGGTGTTCGGCCAGTCACAATGCACTGGGTCAGCTGGCCAATCAGAGCAGACTGTGCTTGTCGGAAGGAGGGACTTTGTAGAAAACGAAGCGTTTGAGAGAGGCGGGGCATAGAGGACCTACAATAATGTACAGTATTTGAAAAATAATGTGTTTTTTGAACATTAAAGCATGTCAACATATTCTGTTACACCAAATACACCAAATAATGATCTTTAAAAAAAGCATTATATGACTCCTTTAAACTGTTAGGCTATATTTACTAAATGAATATGAATCTTAAACCACACACACAAGCATGGACGTGTTCCTGTAATAAGTAAAATTTTGGATTAAACAAAATTGTATGGACAAAAGTTTAAAAGTAGCCTACATTTGGTACACTGTAAATGAGAAAACAAATACTTCACTGCATTTTACGGAATGGAATAAGCAATTTCATGTTAAAAAATAATTTTATTAACAAATGTTCGTAAGTGTGCTTGTGCTTGTTTTGATATGATATACAATATAATATACAATACTGTTCTAATGATTTGTATTAGTAAGGTTCTTTGTTCATGTTCACCAATTGCATTTAGGCTATCAGATAAAAAATATTGAAAAACATTAATATTGTGAAAAAAATTCCCTCTGTGATGTCAGATCTCAACTTCTCTTTAGTGTCTCATGATCTTTCAGAGATCATTCTAATTATGCTGATTTGCTGCACAAGAAACATTTCTGATTATTATCACAGTTGAAAATGGTTGTACTGTTTAATGAAGTGTGGAAACCATTATACAGCGACAGGATTCCTTGTTGAATAGAAAGTTCAGAAGAACAGCATTTATTTGAAATAGAAATCTTGTGATGTTAACAAGGACGTTAACATCACACTCTCTTGTGTCTTATGTCGTCTTGTTTTGGTGCATAAATCTTTTTAGTTTGTAACAAGGATTCAATATGATTCATGCTCAAAATTCAGAAAAACTTTACTTCACATCCTCCATGAATATAATTTTCTTGGATTTTGAGTGTGAATCACTATTGAATTAATATTTTTAAAAACAAAATGTCACTGTCTCACTTAATATCAACAACCACACCAACACACATTTTACCAACATCTTATCACAAGCTAATAAAGGCCACAATCCAATCTTTATTGCACTGTATTTTTTGTAATTAGAGGCCCTTTTAATTAATTAATTTATGCATGTATATTGTATGTAGTCATTTAGCAGACGCTTAAAAGAAAACAAGTAGATAGAATAGAAAAGGAATAGAGAAAGCTAGTGTTAGAGGCCTTTAAAAAAAAAAAAAAAAAAGCAGTTGGGAAACAAATAGAGAGTGCAAGAGTTAGAAGGTCAAATAAAGATGGAAGGCTATTGGAAACCTGTAGCTGTAATCATCCAGGTGTTCTGGGGTTTTTGGTTTCACTGTGCAAATGGGACCTTAAACCTTGTGATAATCTTAATTAGTAAATTTCTAATTGTTTGTAAAAATGTTTAAATATTTTACATTGGAAACATGAAAAAGATAGAAGATATTTTAGCAACATGTTTTTGCAGCAGTGTATGATTTTATCATAGTTTACAACCAGACAGCAGACAATTCACAACCAACATGGAGAATGTTGAACGGGGAAAGTTAAGACATGGATCCTCACACCAGTATACAAAAAAACATGTCTACAGATACTTTTATATAGGTTTATTTCATTTGTTGCAGGCAGTGATGTATTCAACAAATGATAACAACTAATAACAGACACAGTTTTAAAGCATCACAAGCTACAAATGAAGAGCACAAAGAACCTAAATCAATGTATACAACTAGCTGAAGTTTGCTGTGCTTTATCCTAACATCACACAAAAAATGTCTGCAATCATTCAGTCAGGGACGACTGCACAAAACGTGCACTGCAAACATTATAAACGGTTACGAAATTATAAACAAATGTAGTTTATATATATATATATATTCCATTAAACCTGCCGAGATACAAGGAGCCTGAACTGAAATTCTCAGTTCCACGCGCATGTCTGGAAAACTCATGAATATTCATGTATGCTCCGCCCACTGAACTGAAAATCTCTAACACCGGACGTGGCAGCCCGACTGACACATAGAACCACCAACCACGTTAGTTTTATGGATTTAAAGGGACAGTTCACCGCAAAAATTTTAATTCTGGCAGTATTTACTCACTTCATAAGGTTCCAAGCATGTATGGCTTTTTCTTCAGTAGAACACAATAGAATATTGTTTGAAAAATGTTTGTACCAAACACCAAAACCAGTTTTGGTTACCATTGATTTCTATTTCATTTACAAAAACACACACATTTCTCAAAATATTTTCTACTATGCTTCATAGAAGAAACAAAATGTACTACAATAACAGACAAAAATACAATGGTGGCGTGTTCAAATAACATTGTAATAGTCTCTGCGAAACAGGTTGTACAAGTAACATTTAAAAAACTTAGTCAAAATGTCCATGGTTCACTTTTTTTTTTTTCTAACAACAGAAGAGCTATAGAAAGAATATTTACATTGCTTTATTTCTGTACTGCTTTCCAACAGCCAATGACACGAGAGGTAGGCTGCCAATGTAATGCTCCGGTTCTGAAGAGTGTGGCGGTCCAAGCAGTACGCACCCAAAAAAAGCCAAAACGGAGAAGTAAAGGTAGCATTTTTAGCTAAAAGTTTACTTGTGAGTTAACGGCTTTGTTTTGCTTCACCGGTTTGATTTTCATTTTTGTGTGGTTTAATAACAGCCATTCAAGTGAGACCTCTTGTGAGTCATTGTGCTAGTGTGTCCTGCTCCGATGAGGATTTTCCCGTCAAATCTGAATCTTCATTTACATTAACACCAATTAAAAGGCCACACATGGAGGATTCCTCAGAGGGGTCACCATACAGCTCAGAAGAACCAACAGATGACACCTACATGCCTAATATAATTAAAGAAGATGACATAAAGTAAGTCTGTCCATGTTTCATTTGGGGTGTTGATCTGTAAACTCACAACCAGCTATATGTTGGTATCGAAGACCCACTTTTCATGATTGTTAAATCAAGAATATAACAGTAACTATATTAGTGTCCACAGCAATGCGCAGTACTTTTCTGTTTATTATAAGAGCGTACAGAAATGTTGTATGCCACTTTAAATGTTCAAGCTCTTTAAACTTGGATTCTGATATTCTGTTTTACATTATTTTACATTTATTCGGGCTCACAGTTTGTCAGCTGAGTAAATGTTGATATATAACTCTCTTGTGGTTAAGATTCACCCCTCTCAGTGACACATTGGGCTCAATTTCTGGTCAGGAAGCATTCTTTTGCGAGTGATAAAATATTTATTTATTTATATATATAAGCTGTGGAAGATAAGTTACAGATCATAAAATAAAACATACAAATAGCTATTTTTACACTGTTTATTGAAAAAGCATACACAAGTTCATAATTTGTCAGTAAATCTTAATCATCTAATATTGTTTAGTACTTAACATCCCTCTCCACATTCAATTTTTCTCCACCAACTGTAACCAAGATCAATCTGTAAAAATAGTCAGAATCAAACCCGGAGAGGGAAAGGCAGTTATATTTCCACCTAGACAAAATCAGTAACCTTGTTGAATCCAGCAGGCCTGACCAGAAAGCCTGCTTTCAATTCATCCCTGTAAAACAACGCATACCATGTGCAAATATAGTACTCCCACAAACTTGGTCCATTAAATATCAGGTCGACAATATTAGCAGTAAGACAACTGATCCTGTACCCCAATTACATTCACTCAAACTCTAAACCTACAGGCATCTTCCTCTTCACATTACATCCATCTTCAGAATAAAGATTACAAAGAATAATCTGACATATGCAGTCTCAAGTTTATGATTTTTGCAGAGAATGCATGAGCATCACAAGCTACAAATGAAGAGCACAAAGAACCTAAATCAATGTATACAACTAGCTGAAGTTTGCTGTGCTTTATCCTAACATCACACAAAAAATGTCTGCAATCATTCAGTCAGGGACGACTGCACAAAACGTGCACTGCAAACATTATAAACGGTTACGAAATTATAAACAAATGTAGTTTATATATATATATATTCCATTAAACCTGCCGAGATACAAGGAGCCTGAACTGAAATTCTCAGTTCCACGCGCATATCTGGAAAACTCATGAATATTCATGTATGCTCCGCCCACTGAACTGAAAATCTCTAACACCGGACGTGGCAGCCCGACTGACACGGAATAATCTGACATATGCAGTCTCAAGTTTATGATTTTTGCAGAGAATGCATGGTGCAAATGCATCATTCTCCAAGGATCTGTGCTTTAGTGTTGGAATAAAATCGAATGCTCCATAAAGCACAAAAGTGTGAGGGTGGATGAGAAAGCATTTGGAAGAAAGGCCTGCTGGTTTAGTGTTTAGAGTTTGACAGTGTCTGAGTGGTAAATATTTTATAGAGGCAAAGGGTAATGCTTTAAAACCGAAAACTTGAAGGTAATACCGCATACAAAGATAACGCAAAGTAACATCAAACTGTGCAAGAGGTCACAGAAGCATTCGCACCAAAGCATCTACCCTGCAATGAGTAGCAAAACTGAAACAAAAAGTTTAAAGACCGTTCACCCAAATATGAAAAGCGTTATCTACTCCCAATCATGTTGTTCAAAAACTGTATGACTTGTTCTACTGTGAAACACAAAAAAATATTTTGTCTTTGTCAGTGGGGTCCAATGTTTTTTTGGACCGCAATGTTCTTCATAATGTACAGAAGAATGAAAATCATACAGGTTTGGAAAAACATGAGGGCAAGTTAAATGACTGAATTTTCATTTTTAGGTGAACTGTCCTTTTAAGAGGCCACACAAACAACAATTAAAACAACAAATAAATACAGGGAAAAATTAGTGTTAGAACACAGCGACACTGAATTGAGGCAGATACACATTGACGAGCCAAACAGTAAGACAAACCATCCCAGTCAGGGGTCTGAAACAGCCATCCCTGGATTTACGTACCATCTCAAATCGTCTGCTGCCAAATGGTTAAAACCACACATTGCAAGCAGACTGTACCAACTGTATTATAGTGCTGGCTCATAACTGCTGACCAATGTTATTCTGTAACATTTGTTAGCACAGTTTCCTCACAGCTGACACGCACAAAACTCTCTGCCGCAGCTACACTCACAAACACACTTTGGAATCAACTTCGAGTAACCTTGAACGGTTTGCCCAAGGTCAGTGTGATCAGTCACATGCATATGGTTAAAGGTACTTATTTCAGTTGAACAACAGTATGTTATTTGTAAGGTAGACACTTTTTAAAAGGTTTTGAATTGCTTTGTGCAGTTCAAAGGCTGGACAGATGCGAGGTGGAGATGTAGTTGTGTTGTATATCCACTGGAGAATCACATGTTCTTGAAGCATGACAAAGGAGCCGCAGTACAGAATTATGAATGTGCACAAAAAACCTTGACAGACTGAAAATATTATGGTCTGATCATCTCCACTAAGCCAAAACCCTTTGACATAGGGTAGCAAAAATCCTTTTAGTGATGTCCGGAGGCTTCTCTTGTGTTCGTCTACCGGAGCATGGGTCCTTTACCTCACAAATCATAGGCTGAGTTAGCCTTCATGCCCCTCACTTTCTGATCCATGTTCAGGTAAATGAGGTGAGGTCATGAGAATGAGGGAGGCCTCAAGTCTAAATTGATTTGAATTCAAACTGGAATACCAAGACGGTGCTTCTTTTTCTTAACAGGCTTGAGCCCTGTGAGTCTTCGTACATTGTCGTCACCATCTGAATCCTCCATTTCATCATCTGCAGAGAACAGAATCTGACCAGCACAGGAGGAAGAGGGCAAAGAGAAAGACTGTGTTCAACTAATCTTTTTTTTTTTAAAACAAACAGGTGATACTGACACTCCTAAAAAGTGGAATACACCTCGCAAACTTAAATAAGTAGGTAACATTCTCCATTACATTCTGACTGAGCTGCTCATCCCATCCCTTTAGATGGACTATAATCACTTGACTAAACCATCTGACAGATGTCAACTAATTAATATTTGACACAGATATAGTGGTTGGATGGAAATGCTACACTCGAGATGACTGTTCTCGCTGTCAATTTCCCTGCTCAAATGACTTGCCTTGTCTCAAATCTAGCACTGCTAACACAACCAAGCAGTAAGATGAAATGAAATACATGTATTCAGGAGATGTTATTCGGTCAAACATCATCGAAATACAGAAATATTAGTAGCATGTTAGAAAACCACACACACTAATGTGTTATATTCATCCTTTAAAAAAACTCTTCCAGTGAAAATCAAATGTACCCAGAGTTCATTACTGGACGTTTTGTTAACTAGAACAGTCTGTGCAGCCCTTTCTTAAAGGCACACGCTTTTTTAGATTGTAAACTCTCTGTGACTTATCATGGTTACACATACTTCAGGTCTGAAGCACTGGGAAAGGAACTGTCATGCACATGTGCATAATGGTCATGCAGATGTACTAGGGGGAAAAAAGAGGATGTCCCATCTAGGACTTGGGTAGAGGGATGATTTTGAATATTACACTATAGGTCAAGGGAAAGCCCAAAATATGAATTCTGTCATGTTTAATGGAGCAGCAAAAATGTCTTGCCAAAGCAAGTCTACGTCTAGATTCAGATCTCAAATGTTTAGACTTTGTTGATTGTTTTTTGATAGTGTTTTATACATTCCATGAACTATTAAATGTTATGTCATCGATTATGATTTTCTTTTAAAGAAATATGTTTTATTCTGTGGTTTAAACATAAAAATCATCTAATTTCCAATAAAAATGTTAACACAAACTATTATATAATTAATTAGGGGCAAAGCCCCTATTGTAGTTATTAGTTTTTCTTCTTCCTGAAAGGGAGTCTATGGCAGCCCTATAAAAGGAACATGAGAAAATGATGAAATGTGGCACAATTGTAGAGATGGTAATGAATAGCGATTTGACCAATTTTGAAGTCTCTAGGACCAACTCTATAGTGCCACCACTGGTTCAAAATTTCACTTTTCTAAAGCTTATCACTTTTGAACCCTTTGTTCTAGAAAAATTAAGCTTAATTCATCTGATTACTCCCCTCATTCTGATCACATTCAATAGCTTTTTTTTGTATGCGTGTGTGCTCATTCTCACACTGAAAGCTCTCCTCAGCAGCCTGATGACTGTGCATCAACTGAGTGGCACATTCTGCTAAGCCTCAGGCCCTGAATCTTTCAAGTTGTGGGTTCGAATCCCATGTTGAACATTTTCAGACCCAAAGAGGAACTGTGGCATTATGCAGAAGTTGCTTATGTTGCAGGCATTTTGCCTTTCTAAGAATGATCTCATCTGATAATCTAGATAGAGAGCAAATTTTTGGATAGATGGATGCAGGCAGGCAGGCAGGTTGCGTAGCTAGCAGTTGCAGTTCTTGTTCAATTAAAATTTTATTCAATTAACAGCCCTAGGAATAATCATTCTCCCTTTTTGCTGTTACATCAAATTGATTCAGTAAGAGTAACTTACTTCTGATTCAGAGTCATCATGCGACAGTGCCCGTCTATAGCGCACTTTGCTGCTGCCACGACGGTCGTCTTCTGCTTCCCTCTCCTCCAATTTGGCTTTTGTTCTGCCCTTCTTCATTATGAAGTTATCTATCACCCAGAACATCAGAGCCTGGATACACACACAAACAGGAGCAAACATTCAGACATAAACAGATGTGTTACAACAATGACAGCCACCTGTTGTACAGATTTATATAGAAGATTTAGAGCATGCAAGCCACATATTCTCTACATAAGAAACAAGCAGTGAAAAAAATACATATAGTTGTGTACAAATACATAGCAAAAATATGTGTAAAATATAATGTAAGGAAGCAATTACACTATCATTCAAAAGTTTGTGGTCAGTAAGATATTTTGTTTTTGAAAGTAATACTTTTATTCAGCAAGAATGCTTTAAATTTATCAAAAGTGATAGTAAATAAGTTGTATGATGTTACAAAATATTTCTTTTTGAAATGTTATCTCCATCAAAGGATCCTGAAAAAAAATTCTCAGTTTACACACACAAAAAAATCAGCACAACTGTTTTCAACATTAATAATAATGTTTCCTGATCAAATCTGCATATTAGAATGATTTCTGAAGGATCATGTTACACTGAAGACTGGAGTAATCTGAAAATTCATATCCCATGAATAAATGACATTACATATTTTATTAAAACAGTTTATAACATTTGTGTAACATTTCACAATATTACTGTTTTTACTATATTTTGATCAAATAAATGCAGCCTTGGTAAGCAAGACTTTTTTCGAAAACATAAAAAATATCATACTCAACCAAAACTTTTGAATACATAAAGGGTTGTCACTTACGTTCACGAAAAATGGGACAATTAGCATGACGATAGCTAACTCCAGATGAGGGTTTGTTATGGGGTTGAGCGTAGCCAACTGTACAACACACAAACACCAATCAAATACATCAATCCAAAACACTTAAAACTACCATAATTTAATGACAATTTTCATTTTTGGGTGGAACATGTTCTTAACTGCAAATTAGTAAAGCAGTATTATAATGATACATGATGATAATAAATTTTCTCCAAACATGTCAGTAAGTTCATAACATGATCCACAAACCACAGTTCAACATCCTGACTGACTGACCTTCTTCCACTGTGGGAGGAGGACCAACATGATCATGACCTTCTCAAACATCATGATGAGTATGTAGAGAGCACACTGACCCGCCCAGGCACTGCACTGAACCGGCTCACCTACATGCAAACATTAGAAATATGACACTTGAAAACAGTGGTTCTTAACCAGGGAGCCCCAGCAAACCTCCAAGAGGGCCCCAAGATGACTTTAAAATAAGACAAAAGCATTAAAACATCAAAAAACAACAAAAAAATCAAGATATCTTATTTTAATTCAACCCCTCAATAGGTTTTTTTTATTTAAAGAACCAGGATTCCCATGGCCTTAAAAAAACTTGGATATATGAGGAAGCCTAGACCTGGAAAGTCAGGTAAATGGATAAAATCATAAATATCTTTTAAAATCCTTATTTGGTAAATCACAAAAAATAGAAAATCACAGGGCCTTTGAATGTTGTTATGGGAGCCCTGGAGTGAAAAAGGTTAAGAATCACTGCTAGAAAATTCAACATCATTACATGACATTACAGTGCCTTGAAAGATGGTCTAACTAGTTTCATTGGAGGGAACCTTAATATAAAAACACTGTTAAATCATTGATTAGACTTGTTTGGTTTCGGACAGGCATTAGTCTGTGAAGAATAAGATTTCTATCATGATTTCAAATAAATTTAATTCAGTGAACAAAAATCGAACAATGCTAAGGAATAAAAGGGCTGATTCAATTTCCCATTCACGAGTCTGAGGACTGCCCTCTTTATATGAAGCCACATTTACATAAACAAATTCCTCGTATGTGAAAACATGCCTGGCAATAAAGCTCATTCGGATAAAGAAGCTCAGTGGAAGTGTCTAGTCCTATCAATTGATGTTAAGGCTCATACCATACTCTCCAAAACGCAACGAATCCCACTGTCTCCATTCAACCACAGCGTTAACAGCCTTCACGCCGCCATAGATCACCAGCATGCCCAGAGTCGCATCCAAAAGGAAGTTGATCAGGTATCTACGGAAAATGACACAGGGAGTTGGTCGCTGAGCAGAGCTGATAACAAATATGTAAAAACCACAGACACAGATGGGAAATACAACCATGTGTGGGGGAAACACTGAAACAACGACACACACACAGACTCACAGTGAACATGGGTCCTCCTCTGTGAGGTCAGACAGGTAGACATTGGCAAAGTGAATGAACAGCATCCCTATGGCCTGTTTGGAGGTGTCCAGAAACCTGAGAGAGGTGAAGGGGAGGAGGGGGCGGTGAGAGGGAGGAGACCTGGTTAGAACTCACCGTTAAGTCACAAGGGGAACGGGGCTACAGAGGACCGCTAGCCAGATCTCAGGTCAGTGGAGTGCTGCATCGACCGTACATGTGTTTAAAGGGTTAGTTCACCCAAAAATGAAAATTCTGTCATTAATTACTCACCCTCATGTCGTTTCAAACCCGCAAGACCTTCATTCATCTTCGGAACACAAATTAAGATATTTTTTATGGAATCTGAGAGCTGTCTGACCCTGCATAGACAGAAACGCAGCTGAAATGTTCCCAAGTCTAGAAACGTAGCAAGGAGATCTGTAAAATAATCCATGTGACATCAGTTGTTCTTCCGCAATTATACGAAGATACAAGAATAGTTTTTGTGCGCAAAAGAAAGAAAAAAAACCCGACTTTATTCAACAATTCGTCTCCTCCGCATCACCCTGGTGCCATTTTGGAGAATATCCGCTGGACATAAACAGCGTATGCTGTTCTGTGTCAGCTGCGTCACGCCGGATCTGTTGTGATTTGATCTGAACGGAAACAGTGTATCCGTGTGACTTTGTGTTCAGAAGATGAACGAAGGTCTTACAGGTTTGAAACGACATGAGGGTGAGTAATTAATGACCGAATTTTCATTTTTGGGTGAACTATCCCTTTAAGAATTTAGTGTTTGCTAATGACACAAAATAGCGCTTTACCAGATTCTCCAGGGTCTCCGTTCGTGCTTGGGCTCCCTGAAGCGTTTCACTGTCGAGAGGAAACAGAAGCTTTCACATTGGAAGCAGGAAAAAAGGGGTGATCAATAATGTCTGCCACATGGGGGTAGTGCTGATGCAAAAACTCTTTCCTTGCTCTATCAGATATAGTGCTATGAAAACACAGAGGTCAATAAATGATACGAGATTAACATTTCAAAAGAGGAAGAGCTGAATGAGGAACTGCTTCATCATGGGTGTAAAGAGTTTTCTGCAAAACCAAACCTGTAAAAACACAATGCATAATTTAATTGAATTTCTCAAATAAATACTAATAAAATATTGCACCAAACTACTTAAGGTTTTCTTTTTTAAATTCTTTTAATATGGCAGTTTATTACATTTTTATATCTCTCCAAAATACCGTATTGGCCCGAATATAGGACGACCCTGATTATAAGACGACCCCCCTTTTTCCATATGTACCTTTTGGAAAAAGGCTTTTTAAAAACAAAATCTTGTTTTGATTTTGTCTTCAATTATTTTCATATTGCATATTTTTCCTATTTTAATTTTTGTTTTGAAAGTATGGTAAAAACTGGTAAACTGTACCAACAATCACATAAAAAAAAAATACACTTTTTGATATACCATTAAAAAAAACAGGTAGCCCATCTGAATTAGGACATTTAGGCTATCCACCTAAGAGTAGCCCACCAAAATCTTATTAACAGTAGAAGTTCAATCTTACTGTAGTCTTCAAATCTGGGTACTGTCTTACGTTTTAAAATCACAAAGAGAGTTTGGTCGCGATCTTTACAACACGCATTTACGTATTTCATGGCACACTGGTTTTATGCGTATTTGGCACCACATATTGTTGTGGGTGTATTATTGACATGTCAAAGTCTAGACCCTGAATATAAGACGACCGCGTTTTAGATCTAATTTTTTAGATTCTGACAACAAAATCATTATAAACAGAGAGGACAGTAATAAAGATTAAAAACAAATACAGTTGCTGGCAGTGTTGCTTTTAAAGTAGTGAGATTGCTGCTTTTTGGGCTGTGGAAACCGCTAGTGCAGTCACCCTAGTTGCCAAACGTGACCCAATGGTTCACACAAATAAAGGGCAGCCTGTTTCACACAATGGCTGTTTGTTTGTGTACAGCTAATAACTGTGTGTCCCCTGAACACCATCTCCTACGCTTTACATTTACTGCTCGCATAACCACCAAGAGGAGATGACACACAACTTACAATTTCACACATCTCATATATTCCTCTGGCTTACCCTGTTCTACTGGACTGTTGTAGTGTTTTATCTAGTCTACTGAATTATTAACGTATGTTCACACAAAGAAATATTTAAGAGATCTAAGAGTTAGGTGATCTCTGGGTCACTTGATGGGGGATAAAAACATTGACAACTAGTAAAACTTTAAAGCATGCTTTATTAAAGTCTATTCTATTTTTGTTTTCGTGAGAAGTTCTCCTGTGCATACAAAAACAAAATGATCCATGAAATTATTAGTCAATGAAATGAGATCCAATGTTTTAAATCATGATATCATTCCTCCGTGTTGTTATTGTAACAGCTGTGGTTTGGACTCTATTTAATGATTTTTTTAAACTTTATAGTCATCGTTCTTGGTAGTGCTGTTTCGTTCCACTTTTGGTGCATAAACATAATAGTGAACATTTATCAAACTCTTTTTATCGCTTTATCAAGGAAAATTATATCACGATAATTATCATTTTATCGCCCAGCCCTACTTTATAGTCATCGTTCTTGGTATGAACATCCCTTTAGTCTTTCCGACACGGTCTCTTTCTTGTCAGTGAGACATGCTAGATACAAGGTCACCGTGATTTTGCCAAGTAAGACATGTTCCTGGATCAACATCTTTTGATGATCCTGGATCAACATTACTGTCCAAAAATATAGACTTAACCCAATCCCTACCCCTAAACCTAACCTTACCCATAATTTATTCCTGAAATCAGTGTGAAATGATAGCTGATTAACAAGGGTGTAGAAGCACCTAACCCTGATCGTAAGCCTAAAACAGATATTTCCTGAAAAGTTATCCCTCAATTCTGATTGGTTAATTGGAATGTTGTTCCAGGATCAACAAGGATGTTAATCCAGGAACATGTTGTACTTGGTGAAATCATGGTCACCCTAGATACAAGCACACACAAGCCCAAAGACCAGGGGCCCGTTCTTCGTACGTCGTTTATTACATCCGAGATGAAATGTCACATCCAAGATGATATGATCGCGCTAATCAGAATCTGGCTAATTCGGTTCTTCGAACGCACCTGTTGTTGATGATTAGTATGGCTGGATTGAGTTATCTGAGATAATTGCATGTTCATGGGTTGGTTTAAAAGGGTCTGTGTATCGATACTCCAAAACACGATCAGCAATGCTGCGATTGGCTGGCGGCAAGACAGCAACGTAATGACATCATATAATTGACAAAAAAAAACTTGACAAATTTTTTTACTTTTATAAGGAAACAGCCAAGCGAACAAAACTACATAAATGTTATAATAGATAAATGAAATGTGCACTGTTTTTATTTTATTTAAATTTTTTACATGATTCCTAATTATTTATATTCACGATTTCTAATATTTGTACAGGCTTTACATTTTTATTTCAACGTAGTAATTAGCAATTCATTTAATTTTATATTTGAACTAGACTTGTGCCGGTATTCGGTATCGCGGTATATCACGGTAATGAATATGCACGATACTGGTATCGTGGGCACTTCTAAATACCGTGAATAATTATATATTACAAATTATTCAGAATTTTGAATGCATTTTAAGAATACTTTTCCCATCAACTGGTCAAAATGCACAACACCGCTGTATGCTGCGTGAAAGACGCGTGCGCACTCTTACGTAAACAAGCGCGGACGAGAAGCACATGGCGGAACGTGAGCGACGCTCTGGATGAAAGCACACTTTCACTCTCTGACAGCAGATGGCGCTAAACTGCAGAAATAATAATAATAATAATTCATTTAAATGCAGCCGTTACCCCGGAAACCCTGTAAACAAAGCAGCTGCACTACTTTCTGTTTCTGAATCGTGTTTAAATGATTTAAACAGCCATTCAGATTTGTGTATTTGCT